AGCCTCAGCCTTCAGTAGCTGAATCGTACTACCAGACAGGTGGGTGGCATGATTCAAACTGCTGTCATTACACACAGTCTGTGTACTGCTTTAATACCTTAAAAATAGTTCTTTGACTATTTCGCATTATCTAGATTTTTTTTTTAGTTTTGTTATGTAATCTCTGTCAAAGTTTAAAAAAATTTGCTGCACCTAGAACTTAAACATTATTGTGACATTGCCATAAGTAACCATCTCTGAGGTTTAGATTGTTATTAAATACACTCAAAACGTACTTCTAGGCAAACTTCTTGTTTATTTGTCTAGAAACCTCGCTGAAGTAGGTTCAAATAGTTAATGGTGGGTTCAGATAGCTTGATTAGAAAGATTCTTTTTTAATTCTTTAGTTAATGTATGTAGTTCTTTAATTATTGGTATCATGATTGATACAAAGCATAAATCCTATTATTTTTTTTACTTTAATTAGAAATAATAGGAAAGTTTAGGTGTACTTTGGTTTAGTGTTCTCTAGTAAAACCATTAAATGAGAAGGTTGTTTAAGAAGATGGCAGTGCAGTTAAAAATAAATAAAAAATCTGAGGCTTACTAGTATGAACTCTGACTTAATATGGTTTGCATTTCATTCAACTAAGACATATCAATATTTGTACACTTTTGTTGTCTATCCTAATTAGCTCCAAAAGCAGGATATAGCCAAGGGGCAACTCAGTATACCCAAGCCCAGCAAACACGACAAGTGACAGCTATAAAACCTGCAACCCCAAGTCCAGCAACAACTACATTTTCTATATATCCGGTATCCTCTACTGTGCAGCCAGTAGCAGCTGCAGCTACTGTTGTTCCATCCTATACTCAAAGTGCAACGTACAGTACAACAGCGGTTACTTACTCTGGTAAGAATTTTGCATATTAGTTGCTAGGATCTTTGCAGTTGCTACAGGAGAGGCTTTAAATACTCAGAATTTTAGCAGTTTGTCTTTGTAATCTACTGGGAAGTATCAACCAGTTAAATCATTGTAACGGCAGAATATTTTGCTGTATCTGTAAAAGAGGTTTGATGTTTGTATGTGCCTATTTTGTTACATGTCAGAATATACCAAGCATTGGCATTGCTACATGCATGGTGTTTTGTGACTTACTGTAAGGTTTGGAAAGAAAAGATGGGAGATAGAAAAAATAAGGAAACACATCCACATAAATATTACCCAGAGAAGCTGGAACGGAGCATGCTGCCATCAAACAGCAGTTAACAGAGACAGGGATGAGCAGTCCAATATAAGTCTTGAAAATTTGGGCTGTCTTGGCCCAAAATGAGAGGAGAATGGGTGCTAAAAAAAAGACTTTCCTTCAAACATTAGAAAGCCAAAAAGTAGTTAAAGATTAAAAGATCTTAACTTTATGGCCAGATGGTAATCAACTGGCATATTATAGCTACTTTGAACTTTTTGCTTTGTTTTGTTTTCTGTATAAAAAGGGATTTTAAGACTTCCTTGAGACAGAGCCTGATCAGAGGATTAAAATAGTTGAACCAGTAGATGTAGAAAGTTTATGGGGAAACTGGCTTAAAGGTATGAAAGCCCAGTTTCCTTGATTTATTCAACTTTGATACTAGAAATCAAGGACTGCGTAGCCAGATTTTAGCAGGCAAGCAGCTTCTCTGCGCTAAACCAACTTAAGTCAGTGGAATAGAATGTAATAGCACTAGCCATTCTATCTTCATTTTTTCCCCCTTCCTTTACATAATGTCTGTACTCCTTGCATTTTGGAAACATGAACAGCAAATTGGTTCTGGAAGACTGCTTATTTCAAGTGGCCTTTGATAAATCTTTTATTAAAATTCTTGTTACATCATACTTGGTCTTACCAGATGTATCAGGAAGTTTCTCTTATTCTTTAGGGATGCTTTGATATATCTAACATAACTGCATGTCTGCAAAAATGTGTCTAAAATCAAATACATTCCTGATACAATTGGTAGTTATGTGTGCACTGTGAAACATAAAGAAAAATTCAGACTGCCTAGCAAGATCTCAATAAATCGTTTATCCTGCCCTGCCCCCCCAGCTCTATTATGCAACATGTTTTGAATTAGTGTATTATGTAAATGATACATTATGTACAGTGATGTAACATTTATTTTATTTTGATCTTTGAGGTACCTCTTATTCCGGCTATGAAGCTGCAGTGTATTCAGCTGCATCGTCCTATTACCAGCAGCAGCAGCAGCAACAGAAACAGGCAGCGGCAGCAGCTGCTGCTGCTGCTGCAACAGCTGCTTGGACAGGGACCACCTTTACTAAAAAGGCACCATTCCAAAATAAGCAACTGAAACCAAAACAACCTCCCAAACCACCCCAGATCCACTACTGTGATGTTTGTAAGATCAGCTGTGCTGGACCACAGGTACCTGTATTACATAATATTCTGCTATACACTTTAGCCATAATTTCTTCAGCTAAAAAACTGACGCCTTTGAGAATATTTGTTAATTTTTAAAGACTTGATTCTGTGCTTCTACTAAAGGAATAATTAAATGAAAATGTGCACTATTATGGAAAGAATTCCTATGGGAAGACAAAAAGTTACATCCCCTGAGCTTGTACAGAGAAGCTTCAGCTGTGCTTTGGACTTCAGAAATATTCTAAGCTTTGAATTCGATTTGCTTTTTTAGCATAGCACACTTCTTAGAAAAAACTTTTTTCAAATCTATGGAATTACATAGATTTTGTGAATGGTAAGCCTGAAAGTTTATTCTTTGTTGCATTCCAACATCCCAGCTTAGTTTCACAGGGGATACAAGTACATAGAAGGTAGATACCAGTTCATGCAGTGTGTTCATGTGTGTGTCTGGCTAAACAGTTCTTACTCTATAGGTAAAGTTGTCATTATTTCATAGCCTGTCTACTCTCCAGGTTGCCAGGGGAGACCTGATTGCCCTCTACAACTACCTGAAAGGAGGTTGTAGCCAGGTGGGGGTTGGTCTCTTCTCCCCGGTAACTAGAGATAGGACAAGAGGAAATGGTCTCAAGCTGTGCCAGGGGAGGTTCACGTTGCATGTTAGGAAGAACAACTTCACTGTAAGAGTCGTTAAGCATGGGAACAGGCTTCCCAGGGAGGTGGTGGACTCACCATCCCTGGAAGTGTTCAAAAAAAGTTTAGATGTGGCGCTTAGAGAAATGGTGTAGCGGGTTTAGCAGGCATGGTGGCATCGGGTATATGGTTGGACTTGATGATCTTTGAGGTCTCTTCCAGCCATAATGATTCTATGATTCTATGATTTATGCACTACCTTCTTTCAAATTGTTTTTCTAGTTCTCTGGGTACACTTCATCAATGTGGTCTTGTAGTTGAGAAAATTCAAAATCAAGAATAACTGAATACAGTGCAGGGAACTGCAGTTTTCTGATCATATCAGGTTTTCAGTGGTAATAATCTGTTAACCAGTCCTTGAATGAGGAAGTGGGAAGTTAAGAGAAAAGCCTGTATTGTATCACAACAGCCCTGGTGGTGGAGAAGATAATTTCTTGGTCTTAGAAGTGGCCTGCAAATGCCTTAGAGCCTGTCTTATGGAAGAAATGTTCAGTGTGGGAAATATTTCTCATACAAAGCATGTTATCTTATGCTATTTTCTGCATTACATGTATTCACATGAATAATGAACGAGCAGTACAAAGACAGCTTACTCTGTGTGTATTGTTTATTTAAACAGACTTACAAAGAACACTTAGAAGGCCAGAAACACAAAAAGAAAGAAGCAGCATTAAAAGCTTCCCAGAACACCAATAACAACAGCACTTCTGCTCGTGGAACTCAAAATCAGTTGCGCTGTGAGCTTTGTGATGTGTCTTGTACAGGGGCAGATGCTTATGCTGCCCATATCCGTGGAGCCAAGCATCAGAAAGTAAGAGTTTTCTCTTGTTCTTACTGTACAAGTCAGTCTTGTATTTCTTCCCATCATTTTTTCTCAGAGAGGAGAAAATACATAGAAACAACATGATTTGAATTATTTTGTTTAAAGGCATTTAGTTCTGCTTTTTGTTTCAAACTTATCTTTAAGCTCACTGTTAGAAGGGCCTTCTTGGGAGAAAGGGGGAAAAATATTGCCATGGCATCAATGAGAAGAGGATGCATTGGGTAAAGTATGTAAATCATAGGAAGAAGTTGTAGAGTAAAATGAGGAAAAGAGTCAGTGAGGACATGCAGTAGCATGCTTGTGCCCCCTAACTCTTTTCAAGACTTTTCTTGTCATTTGTCTTACTTGTCTGGTGCTGTGAAGGTTTTGGTGCACTTTGAAACACAGTTAAGCTGAGTCAGTGCCAAGGGGCAGGGCTATTATGCATCACTCCTTGGTATTTCTTGCAAAGAAAATTGGCGTATGGGAGCAAGGAACAATGTCTTGCAGTAGACTTTATAATGAGTACATTTGGAAAACTTTTGGTAAGCGTGTTTTCCCTGTTTGCATGCAGTTTTAAAAAAAAAAACAAAACAAAAAACCTTTACCTAAGGGATCTCTTCAGTTTTGCTAGGTAACCTGGAAATTGTTTCAATGCGAATACTGTTAAAATGTAGTGATCAAAAAAGACAGTGTTGTGGAATTTGGATTAAATAACTCCTGTTTACAAATACTATTTGGAACCAAAATAGTTCAATGTACTACACTTTTGGAGAGAGAGTGAAAAGCAACCAGGCAATGAAACAGTCACATTGAAACAACTGAAGCAAAATGTTTCCTTGAGTTGTACTGGCTTGTGAGTTTATTGGCTTTCTGTTCTCATCTGCATGGCTTTTAGAGTAAATGTCTGAATTTCTAATTGAAATAAGCAGTGTGAGATAACTATTAACTATTTCCTTGTTACAGATGATAAGAGCTTTTACGTGTCCATCTCTTTTTTTTCCCCAAGATCACTTTTTGTAAGGAAGCAGTAGCTAACTTTTTGGTTACATTGATTTTTTAAGTTATATCGATGTTTGTGTTACATCATTTTTTACAGTTCATATTATGAATTTCCTCTATTATGAATTTCATATTATGAAATATTATGAAATTTCATATTATGAAATATTATGAAATTCATATTATGAATTTTACAGATCATATTGTGAATTTCTGTTCATTCTTACAGGTAGTAAAGTTGCACACGAAACTTGGCAAACCCATTCCTTCAACTGAACCAAATGTGGTTACCCAGGCTACTTCTTCAACATCCACATCTGCTTCCAAACCAACTGCCTCTGCTTCAAATATAGCAACTAGCAGCAGTACTGTGAACTCCTCTGTTGCATCTTCTGCAGTGAAAATTCTTACTCCCACGGCAAACACACCACTTAACACTGCGTCCAACAACAAAACATCTTCAACCGCTGCTAATATAGCTGTAAAGAAAATATCTACACCGAAAATAAACTTTGTTGGCAAGTACAGAAGTCAGTCTTTATTTTGAAACCTAACCTATTCTATAATTTTTTTAAGACTTAGTGCAGCAAATACAAATGTATTTAGTTAACTTTATGCATGAGTAACTCAGTTGTGTTTAAGAGAATTACTGATAGGTGAAAATAAGAATGTATATAAAAGTTTTGGTTCAAATTTTATGGGGTTTTCTGCCTGGTTGTCTCCACCTGACTTCTCTTGGAGGCTTCTCCCACCTTCATAAGAAGCCTTCCACCATTGATGTATTATGTAATAGCTGCTGGACTATTGCAATTTGTAGTCCAGTTGGTCCTAATTTCAGTTTGCAGCCTGGGCTGTTATGGCAACCTGCAGTAGGTTGGCAGTTGATAACTGGGAAACTGGAATACCCTTGTAACAGTGGAAATCTAACAGTGGAAATTTTTGAGATGAACATGACCGACATTTAGAGATGAGAAGCAGCTGTTCCACAATCATCTGTCCTGCTCTTGAAGGAGAGGCCTATGCAGTTGCAACACTGAGAGTATACTACCTTTGTTAGTACAAATGTTACAAGGTTTTGAAGTACATTTCTGGATCCATTCAAAAAAAATTACCTGATGACAAAAAAGATTATTAAAATATATTTCCTGAGTTGTTCCTATCCAGTCCTGTCTCTTTTGAAAAACCATGAAAATGAATAATCAAAATTGCAGTTATATCAAGCAGAAGTTTTTCTTGCTAAAATAAAAAAATAAGTGTTTAAATAACTTGAATGTTGTTAAAGTTATTTCTTTAAAACTTTAATTGTATTTAAAATATGTTTAAGTTTTAACTAATTTTAAAAGACTGATAATTCTTTGGCCAGAACATTGATATTTGCAAATAGACTTCAGTTTGCACATTATGTGTAATCACATTCTCATTTTATGAAAGTTAACAGTTTAACTTTTGTGATTTGTAGGTGGCAATAAGCTTCAGACAACAGGAAGTAAACTGGAAGAAATGAAATCAGCTGAAAGTGTTAAAACAACTCCTGCTGCTACCATACAAACACAGGAAGTAAAACCAGACACAGCAGCTGAACCAGTGACTCCCACAACTCTTGCTGCCTTGCAAAGCGATGTCCAGCCAGTGGGCCATGACTATGTGGAGGAGGTATTGATATGAAAATGTGTATTTTTTTTTTACTATTTTAGAGAAAATTTGTTCAACATGAAGCAGAATCACAGAGTGGTTGATGTTGGCAGGGACCTCTGGAGGTCATCTGGTTCAACTCCCCTGCTCAAGCAGAGCCACCTTAAGCCATTGCCCAGGACTGTGTCCAGACAGCTTTTGAATATCTCCAAGGATGCAGACTTCACAACCTCCCCGGGGCAATCTGTGCCAGGGCTTCTTCACTCTCACAGTAAAAGAGTGTTTCCTGATGTTCAGAGGGAACCTCCTCTGTTTCTGTTTGTGCCCATTGCCTCTGGTCTTATCAGTGGGCACCACTGAAAAGAGCCTGTCCCTGTGCTCTTTGCACCCATCCTTCAGGTATTTATATACGTGAAGAAGATCCCCCCTCAGCCTTCTCTTCTCTAGGCTAGATAGTCTCAGCTCTCTCAGCCGTTCCTCACAGGAGAGACGCTGCAGTCCCTTCACCATCCTTGTGGCCCTTTATTGGACTCTCTCCAGTGTGTCCATGTCTCACTTGTACCAGGAGCCCAGAACCGGACACAGGACTCCAGGTGTGGCCTCACCTGTGCTGAGTTGGAGGGGAAGGATCACCGCCCTCGGCCTCCTGGCAGTACTTTGTCTAATGCAGCCCAGGATGCCGGTCAGCTTCTTTGCTGCGAGGGCACATTGCTGGGTCATGTTCAACGTGGTGTCCACCTGGACCCCCAGGTCCTTTTCTGCCAATCTGCTTTCCAGCTGCATGACCCCCAGCATATGCTGGTGCAAGGGCTTGCTCCTCCCTGGGTGTAGAACTTTGCACATCCCCTTGTTGGACTTCATGAGGTTCCTGTCAGCCCATTTCTCCAGCCTACTGAATTCTCTTCTCTGGATGTCAGTGCAACCCTCTGGTGTATGAGCCAGTTTTGTGTCACAAGCAAACTTGCAGAGGGTACACTCTGCCCCATCATCCACATCATTAATGCAGATGTTAAACAGGACTGGCCCAGTTTTGACCACTGGGGTACACTGCTAGTTACTAGCCTCCAACTAGGCTTCATTCTACTGATCACTGCCCTCTGGGCCTGGCCACTCAGCCAGTTTTCAGTGCACCTCACTGTATGCTCCTCCGGGCCATACATGAACAGCCTGTGTATGAGGATATTATGGTGAGACTGTGTCAAAGGCCTTACTGAAGTCCAGATAGACAGTGTGGACTGCTCTCCCCTTATCTATCAGGCTGGTCATTTTATTGCAGAAGTTCATCAGGCTGATTGAGCATGACTTCCCTTGGTGTAAGCCATGCTGACTACTCCTGATGATTTTCTTGACCTTAATGTGCCTGGAAATGGTTTCCAGGATTAGCTGCTCCATCACATTCCCAGGGATCAAGGTGAGGCTGACTGACCTGTAATTCCCTGGGTCATGCTTGAAGATAAGAATGACAAGGCATTGAACCTGCAAAGGCTTGAGCATATGTTTACATTTTTATATTGTGCATGTTTCTTTTATGCTCACTGGGGCATTCTTCATGTGGGTGACATGAGATATGTGGACGAAGTCTGACGTAAATTTTTCATGATTTGCAGATTTGTAATTATTCGACAACAGTATGTTCAGGCTCAAGTTTAAAGCTGTGTACTCTTTGCAATGAAAGAAATGTGTTCATTACTGCGCACAATGGTGTGTCTCAGAATTGAAAGTTCTACTTTGCCTTCTTTCACTTATTGTGTGAACTTTTTAGCGTGTTTTGAGACAGGTAGACATTAACTTTTACATCAGCTTTGTTTTTTAAAAAAACCAAAAAACAAAAAACAACAACAACAACAACAAAAAACAAAAAAAAAAAACAAAAAACAAACAAACGAAAAAAAAACCCCACAAAAACCAAAAAAGTCAAGTGCATTGTAACTTTATTTTCCAGGTAAGAAATGATGAAGGAAAGGTGATCCGCTTTCACTGTAAACTTTGTGAATGCAGTTTTAATGATCCCAATGCCAAGGAGATGCACTTAAAAGGGAGGCGGCACAGACTTCAGTATAAGGTTAGTAGAAATCCTAATGGCTCTACCTGAAAATCCAGCAAATGCCGACTGACTCTTTACATGTTTTACATGTAAAGACTAGACAAAAGTGGGTACTCTGAGTGAACAGCATATTAAAAAAAAGGTAGAGAAATATCTTTCTTAGGGAATATAGTCTTTAAAGAAGTAATGCAGACTGTGAAACTGTATTTTGGTTTGTGTTTTTTAAACATTTTGAACATTGCTTTCAGGCAACCTTTGCAACATTAAAGTATGGTACAATGTATGCAAGCAACAGTAGGTTCTTTATGCTGTTTACCATGAATTTCAAATGTGTAAAATAGTAATGCTCAATGTTGTTTGGCAGGATAAATCACATAAACCCTTTTTGGAGACATTTGAGAAACAAGTGTTGCAGATTTTTTAGTAGAAACTGAGAGATACCTGTACTGACAAATTGTGTGCATTTTAATTGTTATAAGATGATATTGGAAGAATCTGCTGTGGTCAGAGAAGATACAATGGACCTGCATAATCATGAAAGGGATGAAAGAAGAGAAAAATTGCAAGAAAGTGTTATTCAGTAACTCATGATTATGCCCTTGTATGAGGGAACCTTCAGGAACAGGGCATCAGGAAGCACTGTGTAGTAAAGATGAAATGTTTTTTCAGGCTATAGAGTAATCATCCTGCTACAGAATGAACAGCAAATTACTTAGTATTTCATGTAACATTTTAATCTTAAATTACTTTGTTCTCTTATAAGTGAAGAGGGAATTCATGCTATTTGTAATTGTTGCTATTTCTTTCCTTCAAAATACTGGACAGAGATTTTTCTTCTTCAGCTATTCACTCAATGCAGTTGTGCAACTGCATTTACTCCCCTTGATTTTATCATAGACTAGTAGTGTGTGTTAAATATGTCAGAAGAGCTCTGTAACCTTGAGATGAGAAGAGGAAAACCTACATTTCATTCACTGTTTTTCTGTACTAGAAAAAAGTAAACCCCGACTTACAAGTAGAAGTAAAGCCCAGTATTCGAGCAAGAAAAATTCAGGAAGAGAAGATGAGGAAACAGATGCAGAAGGAAGAATACTGGAGAAGGCGAGAAGAGGAAGAACGCTGGAGGATGGAAATGAGGTAATGCATTCTGTTTTATCAATGAATGAGGCAAAGCTGTAGTCACATTATCTAAAACTAACTCTGCTTCTGTAGTTACTTATTTTGAATACTTGTTTTGGGAAGTCTGTACTGTCTTGTTTTAAATTAAGTTGTCATTATCCCTCTGGGGTTTTTGTTTGTTAGTGTTCAGTCCCTCTGAGAGGTGCAGACTTACTACAATTATTTTGCTATAAATTCAGACCCGCTTTCAAAATAACCATTCATTTTAGTTACACACTGCAGTTCACTGGTATTTGCTTATAACTACTAGAAATAAGTTAGTGAGGACATACAAGGATTTATTTAGAATGGTTGCAAGTGTTAACTGCTATTTAAAGAGAACACTTTGATGCACTTCAGGCGCTATGAAGAGGACATGTACTGGAGGAGAATGGAGGAAGAGCAGCATCACTGGGATGACCGTCGCAGGATACCGGATGGAGGATATCCTCATGGTCCTCCAGGACCTCTAGGCCTGCTGGGAGTTAGACCAGGAATGCAAAAAAAGCTGTGAGTTTCTTAACTTGAGGGGAAAAAGTGAAATCATATTTACCAGGAGGCACAGTTAAGAACTATAATTATTCAGTGCTACTTCAGTTGTTTCCAGTGTTTCTTAAGAAAGGATTTGGAAAAGTGAAGAAGAAATTACACGCTAATGAAACTATGTAGGTAGATCTACTTTCCAAAGTAAGTCCAGTGAAATGACAAAAAGATGCCTTAAAGACAAGTATTGTTTCTTCTGAAATGCAAGTCACTAGATTTGTGTACTACTTTTTATTTTATTTAGTTGCATTATACAACATCATTTATCTAATTTTGGACAAATGTATGGATAAAAAGCAGTTGGATCATCAGTCCCAGAAGATAATGGTTAGTGGTGGGTAGTACCTTACCTGGAGGTCAGCAACAAGTGCAGTACCACATGGGTTTATCCTGGGATTTGTCTCATTAGCACCTTACCAATGATCTGCAAGGTGATGGAGTGAGTACGCACTTGTAAAGTTTGCAGCTGGCATGAAACTGAATCAGTTTGTGCTGGGGAGAATAGCTGATACCTTTGAGGGCAGGCCTGCCATCCTGAGGGACATAGGCATACTGAAGGAATGGAGCAACAAGAACTTTCTGGAATTCTGCAAGGGCAAATGCCTAATGCTGCACTTGGGAAGGAGTAACCTCTTGCACTGATACAGGCTGGGGAGTGACAGACTGGGTAACAGTCCTGCTGA